TGAATACTGGCAATTAAGTCATTTGGTTTTCACTACGTTTTACTTTTTAACACTGTAGGCTAAAGGTTGTGGCCTTCGATGCTAGAGTTTTAGAGGGCCAGGTGAGGGTTTACCTATTAAAGATGTACATCAGAAGAAGTGGGATGTAGCCCATGAAAGCTTATGCTCAAATAAATGTGTTAGTTTCTAAGGTGCCACAAGTACTCCTGTTCTTTTTGCAGATACAGACTAACACGGCTGCTACTCTGAAACCTATTAAAGATGGTTTCTTCTGGTTCTTTCACCAGTCTGGTGTGAAGGCAGGGATGGACACGAACATCATTTATGGCCGAGTGGCCACTGCTTTTCTTCTAACTTAAAACGTAACAACCAAAGACAACCTTTCCTGACAGCAATGACTGGGCGAGGAGACAGCTGGCCAAGGGCTGTCCCCCTGCTGCCACTCTTACATAACCTGAACATTTTAAAAGGTCCAAAGCCTAATCAGCCCATTTAAACCCAAAGCCTTCACTGGCAGACACAATTCCACAGTGCACAGTCCCTGTATGCTACTGCATGGGGAAATGATGAACATAACAATAGCTTGGATGTTCTTGTGGGTGAAATTCAGATGAAGTATTGCCTAAAGGCTAAAGAACTGGACTGGGACTCAGGAGATTTGGATTCCATTCTTGGTTCTGCCTCTGGCCTGTGCATGACCTTGGCCAAGTTATTTCCCCTCTGTGCTTCAATAGCTCCAGCTGTAAAACAAGTATAATGATAATGACCTTCTTTGATAGCTGATAAAAGCACTATTACACGGCTAATTGTCATGATTATATCAGCAGGAAAGAAGGTCGGTGGCTAACCTACGGGGAAGGGCATTCTGTATCTCTCAATCTGTGGGGTTTGAAGAGAACTCTGATCCCATCACAGAGAATCTAACAAAACCATATTAATTTTTACCATGATACTCATGCGTGTATCATGTATTTCGTGCCAGTAAAAGACCATCTGTTCAACTGTTTCAAGTCCAGAAAGTTCTTCCACAATCTAATGATGCTACAACTCACCATATACCACAATAGCTTCTTAAAATAACTACTTGAACAAACTGAAGTAAAACTCATGATACTCTATGTCACGATGCCAGGTTTCCCACACCCTGGGCTTGGATAACTGCTACTACCGCCAAACTTTGCACATGGAAGTTTTATACTGTGTCACCTCTCACTTTGCTCCCATATTCCAAGGACCCGGTTCCCAGGAGCTGATAAATATAGTAGATGCTCTTTGAAGGCCACGGAAGGAATAACCAATCACCATAGATCCAGTCCAGACTTGTTTAACAAACTCTTGCTTTATTAATTACAAGTAAACCCATGAACTCATTTACTGTTCAACTAGAGGTGCCCTCTCAAGCACAAGGAATGTTTTTTTTTTAATAGATGACAACTCAGACTTTCTTCTCTCAAGCTACTGGGTCCCTTGTCTTTCAAAGTCTCAACTACTCATTCTCAATAGCCTGGACTCCTATAGTCCCCCAAGAATTAGTCTCTGGCATCTTGAGAATCCTCTCCTACCACCTCCTGCAAAGTGCCAGAAAAACCCACTTCTAGCCAGCACATCTCAATTCTCCCTTCCAAAGGTCCTCACCCAATTGCTGGAAATTGAACCAATATTCCATGATGGCTCCTAGCAACCAAATGGGCCTTGACAGAGTTATCAGCTGTTAAATCACTGTCATGTTCAACCCCATCTTACTTCCCACAACCTCATACATAAAACAACATTAACTGAGCAAGTTACCCAATGTTTTCCACACCATAGCTCTTCCTTCTTCCTCTCAACTTAATCTTTCAAGAGGGGGCAGGAGGGAGGGATCATGAACCATACTTGGCTAACTTAGTTTGAAGGTTCTACTTTTTAAACAGGTACCCCAGGCCAGGCCTGCACAACTGTAGCACTGGTTCAGAATAAGTTTTGAAAGTTAGACCATACTTTCTAGTCTTAATTTTCCAGTCCTCACCAGAAGTTCTACACCAAGATAAGGTCTGTGAATTAATCAGCATCAGTTGTCCAACACTCACCCATCATCACAAAGTATGTTTACTTTTGCACCAAACCGGTTATTTGTTGCATCAACAGGTCTGCCATGTTCTGGGTTTTTTGGAACACCACAAGATTTTCCTAGTAAAGAACATGATTGATATTAGCATATTATGATGTTGGAAAAACCCCTAACATATTTAGAAGAGAATAGGGGAATGTCAGACCAATGATCTGGCTACTTCAGTATCGTTTCTTTTTTTATCCTATTTCATTTAACGGTGGATATTCTATTCACATTAAATGTCTAATCATATCACCTTCTCAACTTCAGTGGCAGAGATTCCCACTGCCTCTGACAATAAATTACTTGTGATGCTCTCCTCCAGCAAAAGAAACTTATTACCATAAAGATCGCACTATCAGAAATTCAGCATCTCCACATACAGATCAACACAGACATGACATGTTCAGGCAGCCACAAAGAAAGATGCAAGGAACACTTCCGATTATACCGGTAAACATCTCAGCCCTGATGCACAAAAAGTATTTTGCAAGAAAATCATATGGCCTATTATGCACATAAAGTATTTTCTTTATCAGGCAGGCCAGAGTATTTGTGTTGAAGGCTACATAAGAAATTCCCACAGTATTATATTCCGTTTGACAAACAATAAGGTATAATCCAATACTCAAACACGAGGAGACAGAGCTAAGGTTGATTATTCAGTTGGCTAGATCCTCTAACCCTGTATTAATAATGTAGGTTTTTGTACTGAATTTAACAGATGCAGTCTTGACATAGGCAGGTTTGAAAAAATTTACAGTGCTCTTCACAATGAAACGCAGGTTTTTTCTTTATGTTACTATGTATTTTGGTATCTGATCAGCATTGCCCTACATAATGTTATTGAATACTGGATTTAGTTTTAATACTATGATTTAGTTTGGTTGCATTGTATACTGCATTAATTGTTTCTGAGGGTAGAATTTTTCAATATGTGAAATCTAACAAAAACAGATAGTATGACTTAGTCTATCACACGTAGGTTTCCAGGATACAATGCTTACCATTTTAAAATGGACACTTACCCATCCTGGTATTAACTTTACTGCATTATCTGTGATATTCTACTCCCATTACGGAACAGGGAATGGAAAAGGCCACAAACACAATGAGAAGTTTAACTACGGGAAGTACTAACTGTCTAGTGCTCAGTGGCACCCATTTAACTTTTCTACTTCCATTTAAAGTTCAATTTAAATTTACAATCAATTGACAAAAACAAAAACATATTTCAAACTACAAGTCACAGAAGCCAGAGCTGAAATGCGAACCAGCTGCTTAACATAAGACAAGTCCTAACTGCCCAAAGATGGCTAGCAGAGCAATGGAGACAGAAAAGTAATAAAAGATACTCACCTAGACAAAACTCAGGGGCTTCCACCCATGTTAAATTTTCAAGGCAAGTAGTAACAGGACTCAGTTCAGTTCTCTCATAACCTGGGCGACAGACATAACTCACAGTGGTCCCAGCAGGATAGTAATTCTTCCTCAAATCCTCATCACTTAACACAGCAGACTTTAACCTTGGTGGGGCAGGACAGCTGCCTAGCAATAAAACAAACAAACCAAAAAACAAGGACTGAACTATTTAGCTCTAAAAGCAGGTAAAAATAAAATCTGTACTTTTAGCTTTCTGTTTATATGTAAAGCACACACAACACTCAGTGCACATGACACTAACATAAATGAAGGGTGCCAAACAGGTAACACGTACCCAGCCAAAAAGTTTATGAGCTGGTGGCGTCAGCTGTATAGTTACAGAATGGCGTATGATCATTGTACTTGAGACACATCATACAATGTGTCTGTGTGGAGAGGGGAATTTAATTTATTTAAGGAAGAGAGGCAAGCACCTTGGGCAGTTATTTGGGGCTGTTCCAAGCACAGCAGATGGCACAAAATAAGGAAGAAGAAGAAAAAGGAAACAGTCGAGAAAGAAGGTATGGGTGGAAGGCAGCATGAAGAAAGACAAGGAGAGATTTCCCTTCTCCCCTTGATCTCCAACCTAACTGATTATTCCGTTTACAACCGCTGCACAGTCTTCTTTTCCCAGCTCTAACCCTTAGACCTCCGCCAGTCTGAATCCATGCTCTCCAGTCTACTGAAGCATCTCTCACTGAAGTGTCCTGCATCTTCCTTCTGCCTCAGTTCTAGAACTTCTATTCCATTCTCATCCTCCTGTTGACAACATTGTCCACCCCTATTATTGGCTGTCGTCATGATCATCTATTTTTTTTTTCATTCCATCCTCTCACGGTTTTCCTATTATTTCTTCAGTCTCATACCCTGAGGTCCAATTTGGTGGATCCTCCCAATACCACTTCAGCAAAACTTTGATTGGGTGTACAATGAAAAGAGGGTGGGCTGAGGAGAGATCCTCTCTCTCTCTCTGTGATCATTTATACCGATGATTCAAATCTCCCTTTTGGATGCCCTGTCAGCAGCTTCAACGATTCATGGAAAAAAAAAAAAGAGCCCTTGTTCCCTCCCAAACCTTTCTCCTCTCTCCACTTGTAGTCACCACTGATTAAAAAACTCACCATCCTATCAGCTGCAATGTGGTCATCACTTTTGACTCAGATCTTTTTACGAACTCTCACACCCTGGTTGTATCCAAATCTTGTCCCCTCCCATTTGTAACTTCCCCAAGATCCCAGCTTTTCTTTGTCCAGACCACCCACAGCTCCCAGCCAGGCCCTAGCTTGGATCCTCCTCTTTGGACTTGGCACTGAATTTATTAAAGCAGTTTTGAAAAGACCTATTCAATGGGACACGACTTGACATTTCATAAGCAAAAGGTAGCCTAAGCAAAGAAAAGAAAATACTTACGACCACAAAACTCTTCGATGTTTGACCACTGTGAGTTTGAAAGGCAAACGACAGTGTCCGACTTTCCTGGGATTTTAACAAAACCCTCAAGGCACTTGTATGTCACTTGTGTGTTGATGGAGAAGCCCTCTGTGCGATTAGTATCAGAGGGGAGGGCATGACTCAGCCTTGGCAGGGCCCCACACTGACCTGTAAGAAAAACAAATTCATTTTAATAGGAGATATTTATTTTAAATAATTTCACACCACTGCCTCCAGCTGTGCCTTAAACCCTCCAGGGACCTGCCACAGGCCTGATGAGCCCCAGTTGGGGGTGGGGGGAGGGTGTTCCCCAGTACCCTGTGGGAACAGACTGGCTGGCTTCCCACAGCCAGGGGTTTAAACTAGGAAGGGGCGCAGGGCCCCTCAAGAGAAATCTGGGACCCAGCCCATTGTGTCTGCTGGGCCCCACCCCATTCACGTCAGTTACTGAGGTTTTGGCCGTGATCCAGACAAGTGTCCCCCTTTCCCCCTTGACAGCCCGGGGATCCCCACAAGGCCCCAGCAACAGCTGGAGACAACCTAAGGGCCAAAGTCAGCCCCTGGGGAGCGGCTCCCTGCGTGGTCTGGCAGAGTCCCGGCGAGGGCATCCCCTGGGGGGCTCAGGCTGGGATCGTCCACAGCCCCCAGACTGCAGGGAGCCCTGCCCGGCACGCTGGGGTCTCTCAGCCCCTCAGGGGTCCCAGCACAGCCGCCCCTGCCCCAGACACTCACCGCAAGCCCCGGGCAGCAGCAGCGCTACAAATCCTAGGAGCCAGAGTGGGTGGCAGCGGGCCGGCCTCGCAGCAGTGGCGACAAACACCATGAGAGGCCCGATTCTCCAAGCTGAGACCAAGCAGCTGCCAAGCGAACAACAGGGCAGGGCCGCTTCAGGGAGCACGAGAGCCGCACTGGTGCCCCCTCTCTCTGCTCCTCTGGCGAGGTGCCCGCGTGCAGCGCTGTAATTACACAGCGGGCTACACTGGCCCTCAGAGGAACCCAGCAACCAGATGGTGCAAGGGGAGCTGAAAATCTCCCCCTTCCCTGCCAGCGCCTTCGGTGTGACAACGTTTGGCAGCTGCAGCCTTGCCCAGCTCTCCTGAAGTTGTAGAACTTCTGGGTGGCTCAAGATCAAAGTGTGCGATTGTGCTCATGAGTAACGCATTCCTGCCTCACACAAGGATCCTCCCTCTCCCGGCGCTGGGTCACTGCATCCTCACCTAGGTGAGGTGGCCAAGGAGCGTTTACTTTACCCTGAAGGAATGCACAGTACCCTCACCCTGCTCTCTCCTCTCATTCCTGTCCCGATGGCATGAAGGGGGTGGGGGGGGGAATGATCTAGTGCGGGAGACATGCAGGGCCATAAAACAACACAGCCAAGTGCACAAAGGAGAATGTCAATCGGAAAACATGCAGTGACTCTAAGCACTACATCGCTGATTTTAGTTTCATCCATGCTTTGTGCCTGTTGTTTGTTCTGTTACTGAGTTTGACAGTCCCTGAGCAGTGAGGGTGTTCAGCACAGCACAGGATCAGACTCTCAGGAGTTGTTTACAGTAGAAAAGTTGTACTCCCTTTAACTACAGCAGTAGAGCGAACGTTATACAGTCTCCCCTACTGTGGGCTCAGCTATATCAGAAAGATGCTTATAGCATTCTAGTGACTCTTGTAGGGACTGGGCAATAAGTTAAACCAGCAAAAGTCACCTTTTGTCCACTATAACTACATCCATAGTAGGACTTTTTACCGGTATAACTTTTTCTTTTAAAGTGAAAATCACTCCCCTAACAGAAATAGTTAGACTTGTAGTGCTTTTAAGTGTTCACTAAGACTTGGTGTAACATTCACCATTGTTTGAGCAATTTCCTTCATGGTTGTCCACTCCCTAAGTGGCCCTTTAACTCCAGTTGTAAAATGTGATGGAAAGTGGACTGTAACGACATATTCACTGTAAACGCAGCAACGCAATTACTCTGTGGTCAGACTTCCACCAGACAGCGAGTACAGTGTAGCCACAACAGACATACCACTATGGTGAAATACACTGTAAAATATGCAAATCAGTTAAGGAAATAATTACCTGTTACATGGAAAACAAACAAACCCTATGAGGAAGCACTGATAACTGTGACGTACTGAACATAGGAAAATTAGCTGCAGTGAGCATTCAAATTACTTGGACAGAAACCAAATCACAGCAGCACGACCTAAGCTATGAAGTCAGTGGCTGGGTAATGTGAAAGTACCGTATATTTGTACGAATGCATTTCACAGCATAGCACAAGGTGCAAAACACACAAGCAATGGTCTCAGCCTGGGACCAATCTCCTCAGTTCAAGTCTTTGTCTTCCCAACGTTCTTGATCCCGTCAGTGTAGGTGAAGGAGGAGAGAGGTAATCGCATGATATCACTGTCCCCCACTTTATACCCTCAGTGCATGACCCTGGAAAAGACTAGCCCAGACATGTCCTGGTGGGCTTTGCTGAGTCCCAGAGTTGGGCAAAGCGCAGCGTGTGGTGACTGCGCAACTCTCCTACAGAACTGTAAATCACAACTCCACTGCTGATCCATGGTCACCCAACCCCCACCCGGCTGTGGATCACCTCCCTCACTGTCACTGGAGAAACAGCAGTGGGTGACTCCCAAATTCACAATATATTTCAAAAACAACCGTAACAGAATCTCAAACTTCATACAGACCAATGATATACATACCTTGACAGAACAATGGGCTTCAGCAGATCACAACCTTCCATATGATCTCTCACCTGACATGCCTTGTATGAAATATCACCACCATATATAAAAGATGAATATGGGGGTTATAGGGTGCTACTTTAAGGTAGCGTGTGTCATAGTGGGGTCTCAGAGAAGCTCTATTGCCCATAAACTAAAACAAATGACTGGTAGGAGTTTACGAAAAACTAATTCTCATTTTCTGAGCCAGAGCAATGAGTCGTCATGCAGCGACACACAAGCCAGGTGTTGTAGCACATACATCTGCCTACTTGGGGTTTGTTGGGGGGTTCTCCACCTACCAGGGGAACTGGGATTTTAATCATGATGCAGCTCGTGGGTCTGAGAGATTTTTCAGGATCTGGTCAGAACTTCTGAAAGATGGTTAGTTAGGAATTCACATTTCAGGTCTGTCAATCTTGCTGATGTGTCATTTAGCGCTGGACTTCAGGCACAACCCTGCAAGGTGTAAGGAACCTTATGGGAGCTGCTGAGTGTCTTCAACTCCCATGGACTTCAATGGGAGTGGAGAGCACAGCACTGAGCACCCTCAGGGAGTATGTGTACACTGTGTCAGAAAACCTGTTCCACCGAGTCTCAGAGCACAGGTCAGCCTGACTCCCTCCCCAGTTCTGGGCTCTCTGAGCCCAGGCTTCAGCCCAAACCCAAATGTTTACAAAGCAATTTCATAGCCTCACAGCCCGTATCCGAAACAACTGACCTGGGCCAGCCACAGCTGTACTGTGGGTCCTTTATAGCCCTCCCACAATGCAGCCACCTTTGGGGAACAAAGTAACTCCTGTTTAACAGCACACAGCAACTTTACATAAGTTTAGGGCAGGAACTGAGGACACCAGTGTGAACGCTTTGACTCTTGCAGGAATGGCCTTAGGATCTGCAATGGCCACTAGCAGTCAAAATCTTGGTTTTACCTCTCATCTGAAACAGCACCACTCGACATCATGCTCGGCTTCATTGCTACATCCAGAGGGAAGAGCGCTGCCTACTGAAGCACTAGCATAATTTCTTGCAGCAAATGATTTTTCCAGGTCCCCCATCCAAGTAATAACCCAGATCCAACACTGTGTAGTTCATGAAGTCTGAGGCGTTCACAGCTTGCATGGTCACAGATACTAAAAAGAATTAATCAAATACTGGTGAGTAATATTAGCAATATTGGTTGCTAACTTTTGCAATGCTTCCATCAAATTACCGGTGCATACATTTTCCCAATAATTAACAAGTTTTAAGATGAAATCTGAGAGCTATTCAGAAAGGTACAGATGACACAAGAAACATTAGATGCTAAGGCATCTATGGGTAAAATGTATTTTTATACAAATGCATAAGAGCCAAATTTGACATACTGCATTTACCCAACTGGCTAAGATGCCTCAGTGATGAACAAGCTGAGAACATGTTTTATACACGCAAATGAAATTTGCTTCATTAAAATTAAATGTATTCCCAATTCTAAGTTGATCCGGGGATGTATAAGCCAAAACATGAACAGCAATTATAAAGGCTTCCTTTCAATGGGCTAATCATTATGGCAACAGGTCTATGTTGCAAAAACAAGTAGAGAATCATACAGTAGAAACTCCCCAGAGAAGTGACTAGTGACACCATATAGCCCTTCTGGAGTCTTTGAAGCCAGCCCAAAAGGCTTGTAAGGAAATAGCCCTCAAATCCCCCGTTGATCTCCATCCCCATGGAGAAGCGGTTATTACACAAGGACTATGTCCATTCCATACAAATCACACTGGAACACTTGCACATGTTGATCTGTTGGCTAGAGCCACAAACTAAAGACCAAACCATGTTGGTGCTAATTAACATTTGCGTTAAGGACTCTCAAGGAACGCAGAGGGCCAGCGGATTACAGCCTCTCCCTTGTGCTTTTAGAGACCCGGATTCAGGATCTAGAGCAGGGGTCGGCAACCTTTCAGAAGTGGTATGCCGAGTCTTCATTTATTCACTCTGATTTAAGGTTTCATGTGCCAGTAATACATTTTAACATTTTTAGAAGGTCTGTTTTTATAAGTCTGTAATATATAACTAAATTATTGTATGTAAAGTAAATAAGGTTTTTAAAATGTTTAAGAAGCTTCATTTAAAATTAAATTAAAATGCAGAGGCCCCCGGACCGGTGGCCAGGACCTGGGCAGAGTGAGTGCCACTGAAAATCAGCTCGCGTGCCGCCTTTGGCACGCGTGCCACAGATTGCCTACCCCTGATCTAGAGCAAAGTGACTATTAGTGGGTTTCATCCTAGTCCCTATTCATGCAATTCACCAGGCCCCTGCAAAATTCAGCTGGACTAGCTGTTTCCACACACCAGAGTCCCTGGACTGAAGTAGGCGAGAGCATCACGGGCAAGAATCACTTTTTATTTTGCCTAAGCTGGGGAGTGAAGGGAGGGATTAATTGTTAAGTAGAAAGGTGTAATCTAGATAGAATTAAGGGGCAGGTGCCAGGAGAAGCGGGGGAATACTCAGCTCAGGAGTGAAGAGGCTGACAAAGGTGGGTGAGGGGAGTGTGCACTGGGCGTAGGTGTAGCTGCTCCGGCTCTGTGCTATTTTCCCCTCACTTTGACAAGCACTCAATTAACTCAAGGAAAAAAAAAATCAAAGCTAGATGTTTATTACAGCAGGAGCGAAATTCTACAAAGTTTCTCCTGCTGCAAGTGGAAACAGTATTTTGCCATTTGGCGTGTCCGCTCATGTGCATTTTCCAACACATATATACTTAAAGGTAGCCTTAATACCAGCCTGAATCTCACTGTACTAAAAGTGCCACTTCAAGGCTGAATTAGTCAGTTACAAAGAAAACTGTCAGGGGGCTGGTCTTCAATGTTTTTAGGAACACACAAAAGCAGCTGAAGGACTGAAGGGCCAAAACCAAACAGCGTTGCAGATTTTTCTTCCTGGGCTGACACTTCCTGAGAAAGGGTTTAGCCCTGGAGCACAAAAGAAGTGACACAAAAGCTATTTGGCAGAGATGTGTACTTTACACAACATTTGTGTCTGTACTTGGATACGGGAAATGGAATGACTTAATTTAGAAGGAGAGAGGCAAGATAGCTGCCCAGAGAAGCATAAATCATGTTGCTTTTGGCACAAGGTGAAAATGGGAGGGGAGGGGGGTGCGACTGTCCCTGTGTAATGTGAAGAAGCTGAAGTCCGAGCTTGGGTGGAGATAGAATCAAAGGACAGTGCAAAGAGTGGGTCTCAAATTCACTGTTGGGGTAAAACTGGCTCTACTAGATGAAGTCAGGTTTATGCCCATTTACACCAGCTAAGTATTTGGCCCTGTGTTCACAATATAAGCGGGAAGGCCATTATAAGCAGACCCTGCTCTCAGCAGGAAATGCCTACTTTGAATAATTCACCCACTCTCAGCTCTAAGTGACCCATCAGAACAACCAACAGAACTTGCTTCTCATTAGCGCCTCTCAGAAAGACTCCCTGACCCTGCCTTGCTTGGCTGTGTTCTCCAGCACCTCTGTCTGTTCATCTACTCCAGCCCCACTGCCTTAGGGCTTGGCCTTGCTAGAGTTGCACTGTGAGCTGTCTCTTTCCAGCTCTTCCATTGTGCATTCAAAACAGCAGCACTGATCTGCACATTATCTCCCCCAAGGTACTTGGTCAGTTTTAATTCTGGCCTCTGCTGCCCTCTGGCCCAGTCTCCTTCCTCTTACTGCAGCACCAAAGCAGATATGTACAGATATGTACATCCTATCCCCTAACCAGGCTCTTTTCTCTACCTTCCACCCCGTGGCAAAGGCCCTGGGGAAAGCTGTGCACACACCTGACTCCAGTTGTATTACTCAGTGCTGAGCTTTCTGTTGTGGCAAGTATGGAGTCCTGAATATAAAACCTGGCCTCTAGACCCTATTTAAAAGTGGAATTAAGCGCTGTCCACAGCGTGAGTTGGACATTCCTGCGGCACAGCCTAGCTTCACTAACGCATTACAGCATCATAGAAATTAGGGCTGGAATTTACCTCAGGAACTCGTGTTCTCACAAGGAAAGCAAGCTTGACAATAGAAGTCAGGGTCATACCAAGCATAGTTGTGGACTTACTGAGCTATTATTGACCTCCACTTATGACTGTAGTGGAGCACTTATTTGTTCCCACTGTTAAGCTATAAACTGTCAAAGTTTGTCTTTTTACACCTATTGAAAGTAAGCCTATAACTGATTCAACTGAGCACCCCTCAAAACAATCTAGAGGAATGGTCTACACGGCCCCCATTCGATTTTGCAATTTGTCTTTCTGGAGTTAGAGAAATTAGAACTTCCCTTGTCCCATTCTTTTCCTTATTTTAAGCACAGGCAGAATAGTGTGTCTGGAGTTGGAGTGAGATTGCACGAGTGACATAAGAAAACAAAAATCAATGGAGCCTTGTATTTTGTCATGAAGGCAGTCAGGCTTATTGTTCTTGTCCGTGGTGGCCTGGGCCAGTGACTGACTGGGATGTGTTTCCTACTTGCATTAGTCTCGCCCTACCCAGTGAAGGTCTCATTTTGCACAAGAATAGCCACTGCCTGGAGAGGTCGTGCAGGCATAACTACAGAATCATCTTCCTCGGCAACCTCTGGTTAGAACAGAAGAGTACTCAAACAGTGTTCTTATACTTCAATTCCCTGTACAATCATCTTTGCTTAGGCTACCCAGCCTCTTAAGAATCCAGCCAAAGTTAACTGTAAAACAGAAAACTTGAGGAAATTAAAAGGAACCGTAACTTTAAAAAACACTCCCATTGTTATCCAGGGTTTTCCAAACCCAAAACTGTGGTAACTTAACATGTTTTCTCCAGGTGTAGTCAGGAATCAATGGGGGGACAGCACCTCCCTCTGATAAATGACTGATACAAACAAGAGTGCTTTCCCCCAAATCATCTTCTTTATTGAATCTCAAGCACACACATGCATGCGAGAGCAATAGGTTTAGAGCATCCCCAACATAGTTACCCAAAGTCAGAAATGGTTTCAAGTGATCAACAGCTGTGCTTTTGGGGGGGCTCCTTACATCCAGCTGCTGGGGAGAAGAGGTCAGTCTCCCCCCAAATAAAAGCTCCTCTGAACTGCTCCAAAGTGTATTCTTTTAAAGTTTTATTGCTAACTCTTAGTGACTCCTACTAGTCACCGTAGTAATTTCCCTAGCTTCAGCAAAGCTTCTTATCAGCAAAGCATTTCTAGCCATAATTCAACTTATGTCAGGGACGCTCAAAGCCAAGGTTGCCTATCCCCACACTCCCTTCCAGTCTCATGCTCCATTAACTGTTCCATCCTCCCATTTGGATTAGCAAAATTGCAACCATGCAGCTATTTGGCCTAGCCTCTCAGAGTCCTAACAATATGGTATTTGCTTCTCAGCTAACAGTGGCTGGATACAAAATGGTTGCAGTAATGTTGAGTTTCATTCTCCCATAACACCGCTTCTATCAGATTTTAATCCTACTATTGTTACTTGTAGCCTAAATTATTGAGGATGACATTAGAGAAAACAGCTCAGTATTTGCTTAATTTACTTTGTCACCTTTGTGGGTTCTCCCCTGTCACAAGAACCAGAGAAACACATTTAGATATACGACAAAGAAATTCCACAGATAATCAGATTGTAAAACCACAGACCTTGGAAGGGGGACTCCAGAACCCATGTAACAACGGAAACTATTCTACTTCTCTGCACATCCCTCCCCTATTGACTAGATTTACACACACACACACACACACACACACACCCTGAGGATCCTTCATTTGTTTTGCTCTTACTAAATCTTTCCATGGCTGTGACGTGTTGGATCACAGAAACCCCCTTGGGAGCTGCCACCCAATGTGCAAAGACTACCCCTGCTCCTGTTTTCCCTGCCAGCTCAGGACTCCAGTACCCTGTCTTGCTAAGCCGGACACTCCCGTCTGGCTCCAGACACAGACCCAGGGTCTGAATCACTTGTCCCAAAGCTGCAAGTTTACCTGAAAACAGCTCACAGTAGTGTGCTTGTCTTTAGCACTCAGATGCCCAACTCCCAATGGGGAGTAAACCCAAATAAATCCGTTTTACACTACATAAAGCTTACGCAGGGAAAACCCAGAAATTGTTCGCCCTCTATAACGCTGATAGAGAGATATGCACAGTTGTTTGCTCCCTCAGGTATTAATACATACTCTGAGTAAATTACTAAATAAAAAATGATTTTATTAAATACAGACAGTAGGATTTAAGTGGTTCAAAGTAGTAACAGACAGAACAAAGTAAGTCACCAAGAAAAATAAAATAAAATGCGCAAATCTATGTCTAATCAAACTGAATACAGATAATCTCACCCTCAGAGATACTTCAGTAAGCTTTTTCTCAGACTGGACACCTTCCAGGCCTGGGCACAATTCTTTCCCCTGGTACAGCTCTTGTTCCAGCTCAGGTGGTAGCTAGGGGATTCTTCATGATGGCTCCTCCCCGCTTGTTCTCTTCCACCCCTTTATATGTCTTTTGCATAAGGCTGGAACCCTTTGTCCCTCTGGGTTTCCACTCTCCCGCCCGCCCCCCGGAAAAGCACCAGGTTAAAGATGGATTCCAAAACTTCATTACTCACTTGCCAGCACACACATATACAGGAAGACTCACGGGTAAATACAGCCATCTGCAGACAATGGGAGTCATCAAGATTCCAAACCATCCTTAATGGCCCACACTTTACATAATTACAATAGGCCCTCAGAGTAATATTTTATATTTCTAGTTTTAGATACAAGAGTGGTACATTTCTACAAATAGGATGATCACACTCAGATTATGAGCTTTGTAATGATACCTTACAAGAGACCTTTTGCATGAAGCATATCCCAGTTACATTACATTCACTTATATTTTTATAAAACGTATGGACTGCACAACGTGACAATGGCATTATAGGCAAATAACTACTTCAGCCCCACAGAAATTCAAGTATCTTACAGTGGCTTTCTACAATTAAGGCAATATTGGTTTGAGATTGAGAAAGTGAAATATTAAAAAAACTGAAAGCTTAAAAAATGTTTTTATTTGCTTACCAAGATAATGGCTAGTCTCAATATAGAGAGAAGAAATTAAAGTCAACTGAAATAGAAAACTCATGAATATCAGTTAACAGATCCCAGGAACAAGCCATACATATGGAAGCAGCACGTAATACCTTAGTTTATACCAAATATTATATTTGGAAATTAGCAGTAAGAGTACAGCACGGATGAGGCAACTGAGCTGCTCCGAGATTATCTAACATTGAAGGCAGGCAGGTTTTTCAGGGCTCTTTCATGTTTCAGACATGAAGAGAAAGGTGTTCGGATGCGACAAGTCCTTTGTAAAAATGTCATGGGAGCATCAGAATATCTGTTTGCATAGTTCTTCTGCAATCTTCAGGGATCTGAAGGGCTCTCTCATACGTGTCTAGGCTCCCCTCTACCAAGCTGTACTGTCCAGTTTACCAGAAGAAGACTAAGCCCATTTCAACTTCAAGGTGGAGGTGCAGCATGCACTGCAAATAAGCATTAAATAGGTAACATTGGAGTATTGTCATTCACAAATCAAAAGTTTGTACGTATGTGAATAATGGGTCAGATACATCTTTTCAGGGCATGGACTGTCATTTACCCAGTGTTTATACAGCACCTAGCAGAAAAGGACCCAACTTGGTTGTTGCCTTCAGGAGCTACTGCAATTTAAAATGTTAAACAATGATTATCCTTATCTATTAATCCACAGGACATTAGGTGCTTTTTGACTCAAGGAATAGTGAAAAGAGGGAAAGGAAAGAAAAGTCCGGGAAAAAGAGGTATGCCAGAAGAGATCCATTTAAAACGTAATGATTTAGGCATGTGTCCAAATTTAGTTGAAGTCAGTCCACTAGATAATCCATAAGAGCTAAGCATATATCTTAACTCAGCGGTTTCCTAATTATGGGTCATGACCCCACTTGAGGTCATGCCATCAGCAGTTGAGTCACAACCCCATGTGCGGAGGATACCATTTTGCTCTACAAAATAGCATCCCCTATGCTGTCTGGGATCGCTGGAGCAATCAAGTCTGAAAATGGGGTCATGCAGGCAACACAGTTTGGGGACCACCAAATTAACTCAGTGCTTTTTCCTTTGACTTTGATTCCCATCAGTTACAAAATGTACTTTACACAAATTTCACAGGGTAGAAAACATGCCTTTTAGTATTATCAAGGGGAAGGATGACCATGTGACAAATCAGGGTTTTATAATTCAGGGCCACATCCATGTCTTCATACTAACAAATCTTCATAACAGGGTGTCAACTACACATATAAAATAATCTGGATGACACTCAAAGAATGTGTTTAGATGTGCATGGTTTGCCCACTATACTACACAAGTGGTAGTGGGTTTAGACCCTTAAAGTCTACAAACCCATGAGCTCTATTTGACTAGGATCTAACATATGATGTTGCTTCTCTAAGCAGGGCTAAAAAAAATAAGCCCTCCCTGAAAATCTACTCAAGCCACTCCTAACTTGTTTTGTTTACTCTGGGAATTTGCTTTCAGATGTGTAGAGAGAGAAAACAAATTGCTCTTGGGGAATGAATAAAGATCACCCAGAACACTGGTGGAAAATACTGGGGTAGAAACAAAAAAAAAAAAAATAATCAGCAAGAGGTCTCAACATCCTCCTGTGCATGGAGCAAGATTAAAGAACGTTTTACTCCTCCCACCCACCCCCCCTTCCAGGAAGTTGGGGGGTTGGTATTTCCAGATTGGCATAACCGTTGTTAGGCTTTGCAAAGGAGAAACATATCAAGCGTATGGTGAAAGCATGGTCCTGAGGCTGGCCTACATTAGGGATTTACATCAGCATAGCTATGTCTCAGGGCCATGGATTTCTCACACCTGAGACACGCAGCTGGGCTGACCTAACCCCTGGTGTGGTTAATAGTAGGCTGACAGAAGAATTCTCCTGCTGACTGCCCCTCGGAGAGGTGGATTACCTACGTGGATGGGAGAACCTCTCTCGTCGATATAAGTAGTGTCTACGCTAAGTGGCGCACCTGCAGCCCTTCAGCCATGCCACCGTAGCAGTTTATATAATGTAGTCATGTCCTGGTCTGAGATGTGTCTTAGAACTTTAAAGTATGGAAGAAAAAAAAATATGCAGGCACTAGGAGAGGCAGAATTGCTCCCAAGAAGTTATTTATGGTGGATCAGCTGTTCTATAAAGCTTAAGCTTCCAACAAGGTCAGTTTTAAAAAGATATTTATTGAGATGTTGAAGATAAATGTGAGGAAATTGGTCCTTTTAGGTCCTTGCCTAGTAATTAATACTTTTCCTGGTGCATGACAGTAGAACGAGAGGCAAATACTAAATGCTAGTCGCCTTTGCATTCAGGGCAGGCCAACGCCAGAGTACATTTGGTTTTTTATTGTACAATAAATGGATGCCTCTTCAATGAAAGGCAAAGCACGGTCACATCTATGTTGCTGCGGACGCACAGGCAAAGCTTTCGACATTTCTGCCATCTATTCCATTAGGGACAGCAGGAGTCTAAAGTAAAGAGGAATTATTACATTTAATATTAAACAAAAAAAGTTTCAGTTAAGAGTTAATTAGTTAAAAGGCTTTTTGTTATTTGTCCCAAATTCCAAGAGGGAAGGGTATTTAGTAATTTGTTAGTGTAATTACTTACCGTATTTTAGAAAGATCTGAGGCATTACCGCTGTCAGATATTAGACACTTCTCAAGTTTTGCCTCACCCTTTCCCAAGCACTGCTCATTGCCTCAGACTCCAGGCTGACAGCACAGACCTTGAGACACTGTCTCAGAGCACATACCTCCACTACATGAGTCACAGGTGAACACAGCTGCTTGACCTGCATCCTCGGGGGACAGCATTAAGCTCCTTAAGCATTACAGCAGCATAAAGCTAAGCTGGAACTTTTCCAATAGCACAACTGGTACAAGACCAGACACCAGGCTGTGGATTTTTTACAGATCCTCCCTCCTCAAGAAGGGTCCAAAAGTTTGTTTGTTTGTTTTTGGAAGTTTACAGAAAGCTCACTGGGAAAAGAGAGAGAAGATTTTTTTCATTCCAAAGGAACTTTAGATTTTAAGCATGTAGTCAGAGTTAGGGGAAGGAGGGACTTTACCGATAAGGGTTACTAGTCTTTCACTCTCTGAAAAACAATCTATGTTACTTCTAACCTCAGCTCCATACCAAAGCCAACATCTCTGGGCACGAGCTCATTTTAAAGCTACTACGAGCTCGTTTTAAAGCCATTAGATTGGCAAGCTGAAAGCACCTTATTCTACACAACTTTTGCTTCCAGACATTTGGGAAGAAATGGTCCAATTAACTTGTACCTGAATAAAGAAGAATAAGATCATGTTTATCTGGTTCCTTGATTACTTGTCCAATAGTCCAGAAATTTGGACTGCATTTCTGGCCATAAAAAGTAACTGTCAACCTAATCAATACTAGCATGACCGGGGAACATTACATAGCAAGAAACAACTCTCACTACAGCAGTAGGCAAAATCCTTCATCATTGTTCTATTGATCTCAGTGGAGCTATGACTGTTTACATTAACTCAAGATTGGCACCCAGAAGTTTTGGAATCCCTTTTAGTATCTTTCTTGTTTCCTTTTATAAACAAGATTCTCTATCATCTGTTTCAACTCGAGATCTAGGCAGTACAAATCCTCCTAACAAGCCAATATTTTAGCAGCCTAGACTTCAGTGGGCACAAAATCCAGAAACTCTGCACTAAAACCTGGGACAGAGCTGGGTTCTCGTTTGAGGTGTGGAAGGCCGGGAATCACAGCCCATCCTTGGTCCAGTTCAGTTTTAAAGTTCTGCCTATGAGTATTTGGTTTTGTAGCACGAACCTGGAGTAAGTTTGAGCTTACCCTTTGATGCTCAGTTTCCAGAGTCAGCCAGCAGCTCTAAGTCATTCTCCACAGCCTGATACTCGCCCTTCTTCACGGGTGAAAGCCACTCTTGCACCGAATTGGAAATCTGTTATAGCAGCAGCTCTGCCATGCTCTTGTTCTCCTGGATAGCAAAGATCTCGCTAGTATAAAAGGAGATTAATATTAGGCCATTGCCTCATTGTCCATGGAGAAAGAAACAGGTTTTCATGTGTATTGTATAAAGTTCTCTTGCTTTTGGATACAGTATCAAGAGGGTCAATCGGGCTCTCCTATTTATCCTCTCATAATAGAGCAAGGAGACATCCAGTGAATTGAAAGCAAAACATTTAAAACAGAAAGATATTTCAAGATGTTAAGATCATTGCAGCCAGGACTGAACTCTGACCCAGCCGCTAAACGGAAGACTATACTAACTCACAAGAATGTCTTGTAGATCAATTGAAACAGAAAAGGAAAAAGACTCACTTCCACAGAACCCTGGGACTTCTGACCATTTTAAGTTTTGAAAGCACGTGGCGCTGGGTAATACTCCAGAGATTCCCATGTAACTTTGGCGGCAAATAGATCTTTCCTTGGTTCTGACAGAACAATAGTTCTGATTAATGTACAGTGGTACAGCAAATCTGAACAGTGGTGGAGTAATCCAACTACCTAACAATAAAGAAAAATATGTGAGAACTGAAAGCTTTAGCTGTAAGCCTAGGCATGAAAATTCACTTCCTCCCTCTAGTCTGCCAGACCCCAGATTTGGTGACCTTCAAGATAAGGCACAAAACTCACCTCGTGTCCTCAGGTCACCTCTGGGAAATGAGGAAGAATGGGAGGAAGTGATGGTGAAATGTTTGTTTTGGAATTGTGATACATAATACGGTCTTTTTATTCTCTTTTTCTTATGTTTCTCAAGTACCGTGTTATTGGATGCCTTATTAGAACCTGAATAGAATAAAATGGACTAAAGTTGGTATTTTTAACATCCGCCCAGTTTTGATAGGGGAAAAAAAAAAATCAAATACATCAAAGAAGATTACATCTAACCAAATACATTATAGGATTTCTAAAAAACAAAATTAGTTTTCTAGCAGTTAAACAACTACCACCAAATCACACTTTTGTTTATTCGTGTTCAACTATTGGGGGAAATGTTACTGTGTACTTAGAGAGTTTTGCAACATGTGTATGATATCAGCTCTACAGGCTTCAGTGAAGCTATGACAATTTATACTAGTTAAGAATCTGTTCCAAAGCAAATACCTTCTCTTAAAGACTGTTCTAACCTCCGTCAGTGCACTTCCAGACCTTATATTATTCTGAACCCATTTATCAGTATATTACTGACCTCAGACAGCACCTATTAAACCCCTCCTGTATTCTTCACCCATCATCTTATGTTCACAAAGCCATGCATTTAGTAAACTACCTGCACTGTAAGACGTGCTTGGGAGTAAGGGGCAGATAGGTAACCAAGTTCGCTCCCAAAATTTCACAGCAGGGTTACCACTAACATTTTCAAAAATTATACAAGTTAGATCATGGATATAATGAATGAAAATGTAGTGTACAGTGTGAAATTGTGGAAACTACATCTTTAAACAAACCCAAGTTCTTCCAACTCACCTGAGAAAGTACCACTTGTTTTATTTCCTTTTAATAGGTCATGTGCAGTTGTGTCTATAGCAAAAGGAGGGATAAAAAAACCAAAGTGTCACATCGTTCTTTTATGAACAGCCCCTCTCTGACAGTTTCCTAAATATCAGTGCATATTAAGATGAAACATTGTTAATGTCTTTAAAAGTTGGTCATGCAACTTATACTTAAGTTATTTTGTGCCTAGCACTAGTAGTTTTACCTGGTGCAAAAAAGTAGCAGAGGAAGACACTAAACACATTACTCACCTTTGCATTCAGGAGCAGGTCCACTCCAGATTCCACTTATTTTATCTTTTGTTGTACAATGAATGGAGGCAGCTCCAATAAGCCGGAACCCAGGGTCACAGCGGTAAGTTACTGTTGAGTTGTAAGCAAAATTTTCTACACCCCTGCCATCGTATGTCCCATTGGCAATGTAAGGAGGGGAAGGACAAGTAATCACTATAGGAAAAGAGAAGGTCATGAATATGAATGTTTGAGCGTTGTTATAGCTGTGTTAGTCTTAGGATAGGAGAGAGACAATATGGGTGAGGTAATATTGAGAGCCCTATGTAGCTTGAAAACTTGTCTTTCACCAACAGAAGTTGGCCCTAAAGAGATGATCTCACCAACCTGGTCTCATTAATATTAATAAAAGTTTCAGTTAAGAGTGCAAACATTTACTTAACAAAAAGTTGATCTAAGAGCCCTAAAAGAAGAAAAATATTTAGCCATTTGGAAATGTAGTTAGTATTGTATTTTAACCAAATTCGAGAGAGTTTCCTCCCTCCGATTCAGAAGTCTTCCTTCTTCCAAGCTTTACTCCATCCTCTTCTAAATGTTATCATGCAAACTGGCACTAGTCCCCATGACATAGGACCCTGGCAAACTCTCTCACCAGAGCACACCCATTCCCAAACATTACTCATAGGAAAGGAGGATTTCATGACCTTGGGGAACAGTGATAAGGTTTTCAAGTATTCCACAGTAGGAAAATTAAAACATTTCTCATAGGAACAGCATAGCCGACAGCCCCTCCACATAAGTATCCAAAACAGGAGAGAGGCAAATGGACTGTGAGAGATTTTAGAGAGTAAGTCCTACTCCAAAGAAACCTCAGATTTAGGCGTATAGTGAAGGTTGGATTAGTCTTACCTTGGCAAGTTGGAAGTTCACTCCATTCAACTTCATCTCCCTTAAGTCTACATTGAATGAAAGGCCGCCCAATCAGTTTGTACCTAAATAAAACACACACACACACACACGCGCGAAAGAAAGAAAGAAAAAGAAAAAAAGAAGAGTATCAAGTTTCTGACCTAGTGCTTTGATTGCTTGTGTAACTGTCTGGCAATTTGGAAAATGGATTCTTTCAGTTTACAAGTGGTGACTTATGACCTGGATGAAGCCTTATTATGGGTTGAGTTAAAACCTCGTTGAGATTGATGGGTGTCAATGTAACCTTCCATTAATAAAAAGAACGAGGAGTATTTGTGTCACCTTAGAGACTAAAACTTTTTTGGGCATAAGCTTTTGTGGGCTAAAACCCAATAAATTTGTTACTCTAAGGTGCCACCAGTACTCCTCGTTGTATTTGCTGATACAGACTAACACGGCTACCATTCTGAAACCTTCCATTAATATAATTGTCACAAGTCCATCACAATGCCCCACTTAAAAACAGAAATAATGTGAACCCACTCAGGAGTTTTGCACTGTGTGGGTGGGAGGATTTTTGCTGAGAGGTGGGTTTTTTTGGGGTGCTGGGGTCACAAGGCAGAACACAACCAGGGCGACTGACACAACCTGAACAAAGCCAAGCAGAAGCTTGTAAGCACGGTGTGACCCTGAAAGAAAGGCTGTGGGTCAAAGGTGCTGGATGAAAAGAAGCTTGGGCATGTAAGCTTAAAAAAAACAAAAACAAAACAAACAAAAAAACCATTCCTTTGCCTTTGGTTTCTCCTGCATTTGGAGAAGCGGGACTTTCTACATTCCTTGCAAATAAGCAAGGCTACAAAGAAAATACCCGATTCCATCAGCAATTTCCACTCCCAACTGAAACATCACCAGGGATCTGAACTTTGACCAGCCACTTGGTCAAAGAGACAAACATTAAGTAAGATCATTCCTGCTGTGAAAGTACCAGCATGACCAAGGCACACGGAGTAGTAAAAGGCAATTTAAACAAGCAAATATTTGGATACAACACGCTCTCTGCAAACTTAACGGGTCTATACGGAATCAGACACTTGGGAACAGTCATTAATCCTCTGCACAGCAAAACGGTGGATTCTCTCCCCTCTAACTCGCACATTGTAGTGATCCTTCCTTTTTCATTGCTAGAGAAGGCAGAAAGAGTCCCTAAACCAGTCCCAGTTACTCAGTGTGATGAATCCCCAAAGGACTAGTAATGTTAGATACCGTCAGCCTGTTCAGAGTGCTTTCACATGTGAAAGGGTTTAGACTTGCTTGCTACAAGCCGACAACTACTGTTGTGGTCCCATCCTGTGGAACCGTTCTGAATGGAACAACCTGGCATTCTACACCTTTGATAACTGCCTTGTTATCCGGGGTAGTCAAGAATTAAACATACTGTCCACTCTGACCGTACGCTTCACTCCGAAAGTCAGTGGTTCAGCCCAAGCATCTCTAGGCCACCACAGGGGAAGGCAACAGAGGCAGTTTGCCCCAGGCCCCCGCTTTAAGAGGGCCCCCAAACTGAGGGATGTTGCAAGCTCAGCACACCAGGTTGCAATGCAATGACAGAGGGGCAACAGGGCCAAACCTGAGCAGTGCTGCAACCTCATGTGCCAGGTCTCACCGCCCAGGGCTGGTCCCAGCCTGACAGGACAGGAGCCACTTCCGTGGGCTCACTCCCCGCTCATCCCCCACCCGGGCAGTAAGTTATTTTTGGAAGAGTGGAAGCCTCAGTTCCAGATTTTGCCCCAGGCCTTCCAACGTCTGTGCAGCCCTGGCTACCCCTCCTCTGTCAGCAGCATTCCATTTCCAAAATTGTGTCACCTTTAAAAGATGCTTGCATAGAAATTAGTTAATGGGGTATGCGGCCACATAGCCTTCCCTTCTAACGAAGTGGGTATTCACCCACGAAAGCTTATGCTCCAATACTTCCGTTAGTCTATAAGGTGCCACAGGACTCTGTCACCTTTTACAGATCCAGACTAACACGGCTACCCCTGATACTAGCCTTCCCTACTGTATTTCCTCTAGCACTGCAGGATAAGGCAACATCTATACTACAGGGACTATACAAACATAGCTATGCCTGCAGAACACTACAGCGTACATGCAGCCGACATTTTTTTCTGTCGCTGCAGAAACACCACCTCCCAGAGGGACAGTCCTAGGTTGACTGACACATTCTTCTATGGATCTAGCTGCATTTACACCAGGGGTGTAAATGCATAGCTATGGTGCTCAGGGGTATGGATTTTTCACACCCTGAGTGCCATACTTAAGTCTTCCTATATTAAGCAGAGACCAGGCCTAACCATGTGTGTTTGGAGTTAGGGGGTGTTAAGGTTTTAATAGGAAAGAGACGAAGAACAGTTTTTGGTACAGAGCTGTTTTTCATTTCGCAACTAAAGATCTTTTCCAGTTCTCTAAACCCTGATTAAAACCATGCATGCAAAATCTGAACCAAGTTACAGATTGATGGAAAGCATGGTTCATACAAGTGCTTTGTAGCTGCAAAGGCAACTGATAATCCAATTGTACTGGGGTAGTTTTTTCAAATAGACACTTGAACCCCCACACCTTCTATGCAGTACTTCCTTAAAAAAAAAATTATATTATATAATATATACACACACACACACACACAGAGTCATTTTATGCTCACCTATTTGTCTAGATACCTACCATAATTTGGACCTACTTTCTATTGTGTGTAAAAGCTTAAAAATATTTGTGCTAATTTTAGTTTGTGATAGAAGTTATACTTAGGCCTGAATCACACCCAGGGCCCATGCTACAAAATTTAAGGCATCCGAGAAATATTTCAGCCAGGAAGTGTTCTGCCTACCAGAAGCCAGGCCACTGAGAATCTCTCTCACCACCTATTGGATAATTCCACCTGACAACATTTGCATTCCATGTGGAAAGATTTAAGTTCAAGCCCAGCTGCATGTGAACTGGGACATACTGGGCCTGATTTTAGACTTGTTATAGACTCTGTAGCACTACATAACCCATCTGGACAGGATCTGGTGTTCACTGAACTATACCGGGTGCAAAAAGTAAAGGCACCACAGCAAATCCCTATTCTCCCTCCTCTATACACAGCTGGGACTTCTTCCCATTTCAACTTCTTCATTAAAGGGGAGTGTGGAGTCAGAATCCATACTACCAAACTGTTTGAAAGCTCTACTTCCAAATGAGAACCCACCCCATCACTGCAGTTGATAGCACTATCCCCAAGTATGGTTTTGAAGTTAGACCATGCATTATTTTGCAGTTAGCCAGCAATTGTACACCAAAGTTCTGTGAATTAACTACCAGAGGCACCTTGACACTCACCCATGTTCACAGAGGACGTCTATTTTTGCACCATATAGAAATTCTGTTATATGAACAGCTCTGCCATGGAGTAGTTCTCCTGGATGACCACATGATTTCCCTAATAGAGACCAAGGCTAGGATTAGCATTAATTTGTGTTGTCATGATGGAAACAGAAGAGCTAACAACAACAACATACTTCGGAAGACTATAGCTGCATATCCACTCAGACCACTTTATATAGTAAGTGTCACACCAAACCAGATCACAGGGTCTTTTAGTCCAGTACCGTCTCTCGGACAGTGGCTTTGAACACACGAGTAAGACCCACACGGGGCTCAACCATACCAGTGGCAACTGAAGGTGCTCCACCCCTGGCAAGCTGTACCCTGCACAGGTGTCCAGACCAAAAGAGGTAATTATGCAATAAAATGCCCACTGGAGCCAGGGGTGGAGAGTGGAAGGACAGTTTATCAAAACCCCAGTTAATGGCTGACTTGTGTCCCGAAGGTAAAATACCCCTGATGTCTTTTTATCCTTATTTATGCATGGTAAGTGTACAATGCTCAAACCACTGAGCTATCCCTCCCCCATGCATTTTAAGTGTACAATCTTTTTTTTTTCTTTAATCCCACAGAATTCTTTGATTCAGTATTTAGTGGCAGTAAGTGCCACAAGTTACCAAGCATTGTGGAAAAAATACTCCATCCATGTCATTGATTTTAATGAAGACAGACAAGAAACCTCCCATAATCCTCAGGGAAGCTCAATGGCAGAAAGTCCTCTTCCCCCCCTACAACAAGTAATTTACCAGGGTTATTCTAGTTGAAATGTACTGCATTAGAAATTGACTTTCCATATGAAATTCCAAGCAGACATACTGTATTCATACAGCCAGTGCTATCCTGGTACTTGATCTTCTCCCGTCAGTTTTAAGAACAGCTAAATATTCCATGGAAATACAGCTATTGCAATTTATCCTAGGAAAAAACCTGGCTAAACAGCCCTTCAAACTAAATATCAATTAAGCTAGCAAACTGGGAGCCAGCTGCCTAGTAGTCTTAATTATCAAAGATGTTTTCAGATCAAAGGAGACCGAAAAGTAACAAAAAAAGATACTCACTTCTACAAAACTCAGGGGCTTCTGACCATGTTAAGTTTTCAAGACAAGTACGAACAAGAAGCATTTCCGTGATGTTTTCATACCCTGGGCGACAAGTATATCTCACAGTGACCCCAACAGGATGGTAATTCTTGCTCTCATCTTCCTTACTTAAGGCAGCAAACTTTAACCTTGTTGGGGCACCACAGCTACCTAGCAGTAGAGACAGACATTAGATCTGAAAGGTTTGACTATGAAGACAGGTATAAAAACAGTCTGTTCTAACAATACACCAAAACTCAGTGTTTAGAAAACAAATTACTCCCTTAGCAGTACTTTAGGGAGGTTACTAACAATCACATTTGGATGCGCTTTGTTAAAATAGACCCCATGCTGAATGGGCCCCCCAATAGAAAACTTTTTATTGTATTCTAATTTTTGAAAATTGGTATTCCATTGGTAAGTATAACACTTAATTAACTGGAATATTTGATTAACCTGTACCCCCCATTCCCTCAACATGCTGGATAACAAAGCTTTTACTGTATTATAAATCCAGGAAATTCAGAGTTAAGGTTACTCTTACCATCTCCCCAAAAACATGTTTAAGTATGGAAATGCAGAGTTAGGCCACCCAAATAACCCTAGTAGTGATGCCAAGAAATAAGCATACAACTAGGATTCCTGCATTTCAGTGTTCATATTCCCAGACTAGATGAAAGACATTAAACTTCACGTAAATTTTTTCCCCTTCCCTTTGGGTATCATTACAGAGCAGAGCTATTTTTGACTATACCTACTACACTACATAGGAAAGGTCTTATCTTTTCATAAGTGAAAGGCAACCCAAGGAACTTTATTCCCGAGAAATAAAATACTTACGACCACAAAACTCATTGATGTTTGACCATTGTGAGTTTGAAAGGCACACTACAGTGTCTGACTTTCCAGGGATTTTAACAAAGCCATCACGGCACCTGTATGTAACTTGTGTCTCAACAGGGAAGCCCTCTATCCGATCCATATCAGAGGGGATAGCATGATTCAGCTTTGGCAGGGGCCCACAGTCACCTGTGGACAAAACAAAAGCCCGTTTTAACAGAACATATTTATTCTAGTCACTTTGCACACTAGAAGGATCCTGAAGCCACCAGATGTGAGAAGAGGGAACTGCGACAGACCAAGTGAGCCCACCAGGGAGGTTACTCCGATTTCCCAGACCCAGACAGCCCCACCCACCTCGGGGGGTTAAACTGGGAGCTGAAAACGTGGCCAGCAGCAATAGCCACACAGCTGGGGAACACAAGAGACATAAATCAGGGCCAACCCTCGCATGCATTTCCCCCATGGCGGGAACCCGGAGAACAAGGGAACCCCAGGGACAGGCGGCAGTCCCCGGGCTGCGTGCACCGGGGACGGGGCTCAGGGGGACCCAGCGCACAGAACAGGCAGAGAGGCTCCCCTTTGCCTGGAAGGGACCCCCCCCCCAATGACAGGAAAGGCCAACCCACGGGCCCGGCCCCAGGCAGCCCCTAGCTCATGCGCTGGGGGACCCCCACACACCGGGACTGTCCGCAGCCCCCCAGCCCTGGGGAGCCGCCCCCGCCCTGCACACAGAGGTGCTTTGCCGAGCCCCCAACTCACTGCGAGTCCCGGGCAGCAACAGCGCCAGGAGCCCCAGAGCCAGCGCGGGACCGGGGAGCCCCGGGGACATGGCGAGGGCGAGCAAGCAGCTCTGAACCGCAGCCTGCGCCGCGCTCGGCACAAGTGAGAAAGGCAGCAGGTCGGGGCGTGAACAGCGCCTGAATTGTTGGAGGCGGGGGGCAGGAGCGAAGGGGCGGGGCCTGAATAGCGCTGAGAATGGTTGGAGGCGGGGTCAGGAGCGAAGGGGCGGGGCCTGAATAGCGCTGAGACTGGTTGGAGGCGGGGTCAGGAGCGAAGGGGCGGGGCCTGAATAGCGCTGAGACTGGTTGGAGGCGGGGTCAGGAGAGAAGGGGCGGGGCTGGGTCAGGCTGAATCCAGTTGGTTACAGCAAACACAGGCGGAGGTTGATCTTAATGGCACCGTTAACACACGCAGCAAAGGAACTGAAATTCCAAAACACACACCCTTGGGCTTTGTTTTCAAAAGAGCTCAGCACATTGAATAGCATTGTGAAGACTTGAACATCTGTCATCACTTAGGAGATTTTTTTTTTCCATTGGAGCAATCAAACATTTGGCAGAGAGACGAGAAAACAAAGTTTTATGTAATGTGTGTGTTACAGGCTCAGAAACTGGATTGTCTAATTTATCAGGGGACGGGGATGGGCCATAAACGTTCATGTTTTGACGCTGTGTTTCCTTTGGCAAAAGTGGAAATTGGCAAAAGAAACTGAGAGCACTGCAGCTGTAGCTGCGGCCACAGACATGCAAGCTTGGGAGAGGCTAGACAGTTCAATACAATCCCTTTTTACAACATGGGAAGGAGGTGTAGTTATAGGCCACCTCGCATATGGTGATAGACTGGCAAGATCATGGGCAGTCTTTTTAAGGTGAGGGAAACACAGACTTAGCAGAGGTGTGCGCTTACCCCGAGCACCTAGCGCAGTAGTTTTCAAATTTTTTTTCATTTGCAGACCCCTAAAAAATTTCAAACTATGCTGCAGACTCTTTGGAAATTTCAAATGGAGGTGCGGACGCCTTTGGAAATCTATTGTCTGTATATATAGTTGAATTCTGATGACTTAGTTTTCAGTCTGTCTTTTGCGGACCCTTTAGACATTGTCTGGAGCCCCAGGAGTACATGAACCACAGGTTGAAAACCACTGACCTAGAGGCACCATGCCTGCTGCTGGCCTCCATAAGCATGAGGGGCCTAATTCATCCCTGTGCTTTATACAACTTTTGTGCCTCAGCTATTCTGGGTTTGACTGCACATGGTTCAGCTCCAACATGGGTCAGAGCAGCCCCCTGGCTTGTCTGCCCGCCTATGGGTGCAAGAAATGGTTTCAGAAACCCGGAATAAGTGTTTAGTGCAGTAGCGCTTCGGCCACACATCCGTAGCCTTGGAAATATTCCTAGTGCACATGCTGTGGTGGAAGTTCCTGCAGGAACAGTAGTGGGGGAAGTAGAGCTGTCAGATCCCAGGAAAATATGACTGAGAAGCGCAGGGATGAATTGGGGCTATTGATGCCAGTATCTCTGGTATGCTTCTGCAAGGGTTACAGTTCACCATACAGCAACATGCTTACACAACAAAACCCATAGCTGGCAATCCCAGCAGTGACCAAGGACTGAATGGGCTATGGAGCTAGAACTCCATTTCACCCCTAAAGGTAGTCCCTACAGGTCTGGTTTGTGACACATTGGCAGAGAGCAGCATAGAGGCAGGGGGAGTGTGCAGTGCTGCTATCCATGCTGTATTGGTGCTGAGGATAAATGAAGAACTTCACTCTCCAGAGTTGTCTGTGCACATTTCAACAGCGAGGAACAGATCA